GTTCTGTCTCGTCGTTTGTGTCTGTACCGTGGGTCCAAGTAAAACTACCGCCATTACAACAGTAATGAGTTTGTGAATAATTGCCTGTAAGTATGCCATAAAAATGTCATAATGCGGTATCCAAGGTAGCCAAAATGACCTATGACATTTTTATGGCATACTACTGTGACATTTTTTCAGACAACTTTATAGCATACTATGACATTTTTATTACACTTGTTTTATGGCATACTATACTATGACTTTTTATGGCATGCTCTGCATTAACATTTTATACCATAACACGTTTTTATGGCATGAACTTTTTCTGACATACTATAGTCAGTAGTGGATTGTATCACGGATCGGAGTAGTGGATCGTGTCTCGGATCGGAGTAGTGGATCGTGTCTCGGATCGGAGTAGTGGATCGGACTAGTGGATCGGACTAGTGGATCGGAGTAGTGGATCGGAATAGTGGATCGTGTCTCGGATCAGAGTAGTAGATCGTATCTTGGATCGGAGTAGTGGATCGTATCTCGGATCGGAGTAGTGGATCGTATCTCGGATCGGAGTAGTGGATCGTATCTCGGATCGGAGTACTAGATCGTATCTCGGATCGGAGTAGTGGATTGGATCAGCACCAAAGAAAAAAGGGAGCAAATATAACTTTTAGAGATCCCTGATCACGTTTTTTTGCCGCTGATACTAATTGGAGATCATTGATGATCCATATTGGCAGATACAGATCCCTTTGTTGTTTGGTCATAGCAACTGGTCTACAAGGATCCATCCAAAAAATCATTTCAACCCTCAGAAGTCAGTGTAAACTATGAAAAGTTCTAAATCCTTTTACTTTGTTATAGTAATTTATAGTGTTCCTTTTCTTAATATAAACACACAATTCAAATGATAAGAACATAAATTGTATTCTTATTGATTGAAACAAACTTCAATCAATTTTTGCAAACCAATGCAAACCAATCACTAGAGACCAATGTATCCGCCGTTGCCATGACAGCACACTTTGGACCAGTGTTTCAGGAGTGAAGAAATTCAAAACTATTATTCAGCAGCCCAAACACAAAGAGAAGCCATTGAGTGAATGATCCAGAGATGTGCGGGTAATTTGCCCATACACACCGTCTTTTCTAGGACAATTTCCGAACCTGGAATCTTGGACCAAACATACATTCATACAAGTCAATTAATTAAGCTTGTATGAATTTATGTTTTTAGGAAACGCGAAGTAAACCAATTGCTGTGGCACTGGGATCCAGCATCTACCTACAATTCTAGGATTAATAGTCAGTCACAATGTTGTCCCACAAGAGGTAGAAGATCTTATTGGAGAGGAGTGGCTGTGGCTTTTTTCTGATCGTTTTTGTTTGTTTGTTTTTAGGTCTTTGGCATTTGCACACACTCAGACTCCTCAAATTTGCATAATTTGCTCACAGCTGGCACATCCTGGGTACCCTTCTTATTATTTAGGTCTACCAACATTGCATGTTCTTGTGTAAATTGTTCAGAATTATTTCAGTAATCACCATTTTCCCCATTAATTACCTAGACTGTGGTGGCTCGCCATACAGTACAACCGAAGTAGGAGAATAAATTGTTTACTTGAGCCCAATAGTTAAAGGAAGTACTCACATCTGCGACTTAAGTAAAAGTTCAGAGATCTGTAAAATACTCTGTTACAAGTAAAAGTCCTGCATTCAAAACGTTAGCCTACTGAAGTGAAAGAACAAAAGTACAAGCATAAAAGTATACTTAAAACACCAAAAGTAAAAGTACTCATTCTGCAGAATGGCTTCTTCCAGAATAATATATGGATAGTTGACAAATATGCAGTAAAAAATGCTTGTTTTTGTGCAACACTATTTTTTGAAGATAAAATATACCCTTGCTATTTCCACACATATAGTTATGTGACATAAAGTATAAGTCATTAGCACTTAATGTCCATTATGACTGTTTGATCCAGAGAAAAGCAGCTGTAGACTTCACACTTGGCATCACAGGGACTGCATGTGACATTAAAGTAAAGAGATGAGTGAATTAGAATGAAGCAATAACGTACGAGAGGCTGTGATACAGATGGGTGTCAAATGAAGACTTACACACACACACACACACACACACACACACACACAGACATATATATATATATATATATATCTGAGATTTCCATTTTTGTTTTTCATTTGTATTTATGGTAATAATATTATTTATATATTCATATGACATCGTGACATAGTCTCATAGCCCAGTTTGTCATAAAAAAGAGATGTAAATAACAGTGTTGAGGTTATACATCCATTATTACAAAAGGAGCAGGAGCAAAAATAGGAAAAATGTATTAGATATCTATTATATATTTCATGGTTTCTTATATTATATGTTTCTAAAACTAAAAAGAAATTTAAAAATCTGTGCAAAGTCTTTAAAAGTGGTAACAGCATATATCACAGTGTAGCGTAGAGTGTGTAGTGCAGGGGTCTCAAACTCATTTTCACTCCGGGCCACATCAGCATCATGGTCATCATGATCATCATCATCAAAGGGCCGGTTGTAAATGTAACTTCTCCTAACATATTGGTAAATAACTGTCTCTGCATTTGATTATTGTTTAATCAAGTGTTAAAATATTGTACATGCAATTATATAAATGTAAAAATATATTTAAGCACATTTCTGTTATTATAACTTAAATCCTTTTAATTTAGGGTTAAGAAACCCACATTACTCTATCAAAGATCAAACTATTAAAGAAAATAGCAAAGACAAATATCATCAAACACAAGTTATTACAATAACTTTGTTCAAAGCTTAAAATCCTTTCAAGGGTGCGTTTGCACAGTCCCACGTGAAGTATTTTATGTGTTGTAAAGCCACGTTTAAAGTAGTCTTCAATGTACTCACAATACATTTATATGTCTAATCTACAGTAACCAGCCAAAGAGCTGCTTCTATCTATGACTGTTGTGTTTAAGTATCTCATCATTTTGACTTTCTATCTCAGAATTATGACTTTCTATCTCATAACTTCGACTTTCTATCTCATAATTTTGACTATGTGTATATTTCTGTTATCAAGTCTAACTTTAAATTTTTTTATTTTTTATTTATTTTTTTTACTTTTTAATTTTTTGTCGCTGGCCACATAAAATGACGTGGCGGGCCGGATTCGGACCGCGGGCCTTGAGTTTGAGACCTCTGGTGTAGTGTATTGTAAGAGGAGATAACTTTTTGAAATCTATTCAAATTTATTTTTGCATACTTTGTTACAAATTCATATGAACCTAACTTTGCACACATGCTTTCCTGCACCCCCTTTTCTTTGATGACCTGAACAATGGCAACATTACCTTAGAAACACACCTTATTTAAAAAAAGGTGTCTGTGTGAAATTTCTGCCTATGAAAACTGTGAATTTTGAAAGCCTCTCTGTAGGATCTGGTTTTATAATAAATATATATTTTAATACTTTGAGATGGAGGGCAGATATCACAGCACTAACTTGATCCCAGCAATAGGTGAAATACCCCAGAGATTATACACAATTTATGGCTATTTGTAAGAGGAGAACAAATGAAAAGGCATTAGAATATTTGTGTACCTGTTATCTGGGGCGTGCTGACTAATGCGAGGCTACCAGACTCTGAACTATCTTCTGCAGTATAGATAAGAAGAGAAGAGAAGGGCAGCCGTTTGGGATGATGTTTAGATTTCACACAGTAAAAGTCAGGAAAGGTGGTGTCTGTCTGTGTTGAAATGATCACAGACAAACAGTTGTTGTTATTTATTAATCTCCTGTTGGCTTAAATAACAACAGGCCTACACTGATTATTTAAAAAGGTTGTGAATCATCTTGGCCTTTTTAGCCCACTCCGTCACCAGTCATTAGTTATGATCCACGGGGTCTCCACAGGAGCCTATTGATCACTCATTGACTGATTGATTTAGACAAATACTTTTTTTTTTCTCTTAGAGTGCGAGGTCGAGTCGCTCTCTCTGTTAATTGAAGATAACAGAGGGGCAACAATGGCCCCCGTAATAGAATGAGAGTTTTGTGATTATCGCTGCAGAAAGAAAAGAAAATGCAAAAGCAGGGGAGGACGACGAGGACGACGAGGAGGAGGGGGGGCTCTCTAATTAGGAAGCTGTGGCCGGCAGGCAGGCGACAGGCGCCGGGTCCGGGACAAAAGGCTGTCTGCTGCCCTAAACTCCCCCTGCTTAACCCTTTAAACCGAGACACACATACACGCAGTCACACGCACAGTACTGCTGCATCACACACAGCTCTCTCTCTCTCTCTCTACACACACACACACACACACACACACACACACACACACACACACACA